GATGCGGGGCTTGATCCCAGAACCCTGAGATCATGACCCAAGCCAAAGGCAGAGGCTTAACTCACTGAGCCACCCAGGTGCCCCAGTCCTTTCTTCTTTATCAAAGCTTTTCATTATTGATTTAAACGTAATTTCCTTTGGGGTGTCTGGGTGGCTCAGTCTGTTAAATGTCTGCCTTCGACTCAGGTCATGATCCCAGGGTTCTGGGATCGAGTCCCATGTTGTGCTCTCTGCTCAGCAAGGAGTCTATTTCAACCTCTCCCCCTGCTTGTGCGCTATCTCTGTCAAGTAAATAAATATAAAAAAATAAAGATAAGTTCCTTTTTGGAAGCCTGCTTAAAAATCTTTTTTTTTTTTTTTTTAAAGATTTTATTTATTTATTTGACAGACAGAGATCACAAGTAGGCAGAGAGGCAGGCAGAGAGAGAGAGGGAGAAGCAGGCTCCCCATTGAGCAGAGAAGCCCGATGTGGGCTCGATCCTAGGACCCTGGGATCATGACCTGAGCCGAAGGCAGAGGCTTTAACCCACTGAGCCACCCAGGCGCCCCTGAAAGCCTGCTTAAAACTCTTAATTCATTGGACCATTTACCTTCTAGATCCTTAATTTTAAAACTTACTATTCTTATTAACTTGGACAGTTAATGAAATTGTTAACCTTTGTAAAAAAAAAATTTTTTTTTTTTTAAATAGATTTGTTAGGCCCAGAACACTGTATAGTGCCTGTTGTTAGAGAGCATAGAATATGAGGTTGAAGTTTGTATCTGCTTCTTGCGTCCTCAAACAGAACTTCTCTTGGGCAGTTGGAACAAGATAAAATTGTAATGAAGTATATACCAGAGTATATATCAGGGCATGCTTTCTGTTAAGGAATTCATAGAAATGCTTAGTGAAATAGTTTAAATTGCTCTTTCTGGATTGTTCCATATGTTTTTGGTTTTGCCAAATGATTTATTTTATGCTGCCAAATTGTGTGAGGTACTATTGGAACCCCCTTCTCTTTAAAATTTGTTAGCAGGAGTTGAGACACCTGGGTTGCTCAATGGGTTAAGCCTCTGCCTTCGGCTCTCTCTGCCTACTTGGGATCTCTGTCTGTTGAATAAATAAATAAAAATCTTTAAATTAAAAAAAAATTGTTAGCAGGAGTTAATATTCATCCTAGTCATTTCTTAACCTTCAGGCCATCAATAACAATTTGACATGGCTTTGGGAGAGCAGGCTTTGAACAGGTGACCCTGAGAACATTTTCTACAGCCTGTAATTTCCCTGGGGTTGTTCTAGAGACCATAAGAGCTTTCCTGGGACCTCCCCAGAAATTTAGAAAAGTTAATGTTGGAATTGTTGAATTGGTATGTAACACTGAAGTCATGGTTCAAAAGAGTAAACTGTGAACCCTTAGATTGCATGGCCAGGGCTAAGGACACAGAAATTCCTGGAATTTGGTAAATTATAGTAGTTGGGATCAGTTTTCCAGAGTCCAGACTTCAAGGCACCCCCACAGTTAAGTAGCACTTCCTTCTGGCCCCACTACCTTCTTAGTTAGCTTTTAATAAGAAGCTCACCCCCTGCTTGCAGGACGACCTTGCTACCCAGTGCAGAGGGTACATCATGTTCTCCATGAGTGGTCTCTGCAGAAGCTATACCCTGCGTAGCCTCAGGGACCATTTGTAACAACCCTGCTTGTCTCTACTCTGCTTCTCTACTGAAGCCTGCTAGCAGGTTCTTACGTACAGGGCAGCATCAAGTAGAGAAATAGGAATACCAGGGGTATAAAATCATGATTCAGATGGAATTCCTGGTACTTTTCTGGGCACTAACATTGTTAAACAGCCAAGGAGAAGAATAACATTTGGCAATAGCATCTATAATAGCCAGGGAAATTGGGACACGTCAGGGGTTAGGATTCTTCAGCCCGGAAGGGTAAGGTGTGAGGGGCCAGGATTGTAGTCCCTGATATCTTCATGATCAGAGTGTCTTACGTTTATACACGCCGTGAAATAATCCCTGGCTCCTGCGGGGATTCTGGACTTGACAGCAGAGGCAGTATATGGGCAGGTGGGGTTGTGTGGAAAGTTATTTGTCCTAATTCTGGCAGTCTGGAATACCATGAACTTTTCATCTTTCCCCTTGCCTTTTTTTTTTAAGTGGAGTTTTAAAAAATATTTTATTTATTTATTTGAGAGAGAGAGAGCACAAGAGGGAGAGTGAGAGGGAAAAGCAGACTCCCTGCTAAGCAGGGAACCCAATGCAGGGGCTCGATCCCAGGACCCCAAAATCATGACCTGAGCTGAAGGGAGATGCTTAACCAACTGAGCCACCCAGGCACCCCCTTAATTGATTTTTTTTTAATATTAGCTTTGCTGTTTTAGAAAGGTCACATGAAATTAAAGGGCCCTTTCAAGTTCTGACTTTGTAATCTATGTTTTGGTTTTATATGTTTTCCTTCCTTCTAGTCTGGATCCTCAAAAAGCTCGTTATTCATTTTGGAGTTGTGGACTTCCTGGAGAAACGCTGCCTCGTGTGGTGGCAGGCTGTGGAGCACTTCCTCAAGGAGCGGCAAGAGGCTCTCGCCCCGTGGCCAGTTGTTGGGCTTGGAAAATTCTTGTTAAAAGTTGATAGCAAGGTATTATATTATAAGCACTTGGGCTGTTTTAATGGAGGTTATATATACATATATTCCATGTCATGGTATTTGGTGTTCCTACTATGATCGTCGATAACACATTTAATGTCTGTATCTGTGATGATATTGAAAGTTTAGAACTATGGCTTCTGTAAGGATAGGATAGACTTAGTTTAAATCAGTATTGTGTAAGTAGTTTTCCCTCTTAAAAATGGTAGAAAAGGATGTTACGGGGACGCCTGGGTGGCTCAGTTGGTTGAGCAGCTGCCTTCGGCTCGGGTCATGATCCTAGGATTCTGGGATCGAGTCCCACATCGGGCTCCTTGCTCGGCAGGGAGCCTGCTTCTCCCTCTGCCTCTGCCTGACACTCTGTCTGCCTGTGCTCCCACGTGCTTGCTCTCTCTCTCTCTCTCTAACAAAAAAAAAAAAAAAAGAAAAGAAAAGGATGTTACGGAACACGTGCTCAACTCCCTCATTGAAATCTAAAGGGGCTAAGTGACTTGCCTAAAATTACATTGTCAGGTAATGCCACCTCAGTGCAGTATTTTTGGAGTAATTCTCACATGCCAGATAATGGGCTAAGTCCTCAGGAAAATCCACTGACTCACAGAAAAGTAGATGCAGGAGCTCTGTTTAGTGGAGAGACAGCAGTCCATTAAAATTTAGACACAGTGGTTAAGAACATGAACCCCAATTTCAAACTGGTTTCAGATCCCAGTTCTGCTACCTACTAGCTCTGTGATCTTGGATGAATTTCTTAACTTTTTTATGCCTTGTTTTCCTTATCAATACAATAAACATAATGGCATGCACCTTGGAGAACGGCTGTGGGGGTTAAATGAATTAATAGACGTGCAGTTCCTAGATCAGAGCCTGATTCATAGTGGCTCTGTGTGTTAGTGGTGGTTTTAATTTGTGGAGCACAGTATGTACAGAATACAGTGGCAGTACTGAGCAAGAGGGGACTGGCTGTTGGCAAGGCAGTGGGAGAGGGGAGGTTTTGCAGAAGAGGTGATGCCAGAGGAAATTTCAAGGCACAAGTAGGAGTTTCTTAGGTGACAGGGCAGGAGGAATAGGCGGATGGAGCAGTGCAAAGGGAGCGACTGCCACAGCGTGACTTCTTAGGGAGCACCAAGGAAACAGTCACAGTGGGATATATGCAGACGCGAGGCAGGAGAGACAGGCGAGACTGAATCGAGGTCTTTGTGGGTGCTGTGCTGTGTGAGCCGGACTTCCTCACAGAGCCTACGGACTGTTTCCCTGAGCAGGTCCATCCATGACTTCAGGTTGAGAAATACTGTTAGGTGAAACCAGCATAGATAGGAAAGGGACGAAGAACTGGAGTTCACATAAGATGGAAGGAAAGAAATATTTTAAAGCCATGGTAACATCTCTTGGGGGAGCAGAGATGCAGGGGGGTACTTTTTTTTTTTTTTTTTTTTTAAGATTTTATTTATTTGAGAGAGAGAGGGAGAGGGAGAGAGAATTTGAAGCAAACTCCGCACTGAGCACAGAGCCCAATGTGGGTTTTGGTCCCGTAACCACAAGATCTTGACCTGAGCCGAAACCAGGAGTCAGAAGTTTGTTTGTTTGTTTTTGAGAGAGGGAGAGAGAGAGAGAAAGAGAGAGAGTTCGAGCATGAGCAGAGGAGAGGAGGGAGGGCCAGAGACAGAAGGAGAAGCAGACTCCCTGCTGAGCAGGGAGCCTGATGTGGGGCTCGATCCCAGAAATCTGAGATCATGACCTGAGCCGAAGGCAGACGCTTAATGACTGAGCCACCGAGCCACCCAGGTGCCCCAAGGGTCGAAAGTTTAACTGACTGAGCCACCCAGGCTCCCCATGGGGATATGTTTTCTTACGTATTGCCTTTCTGTCTTCCAGAAAGTTTGCCAGTTTTAGTTCCCATCAGTGTAACATAGGGCAGTGCCCATTTTCTGAGCTCTTGCCATTACTAGATATTATAACAAAAAAGTATTTTTCAGTTTCATAAAAAGAAGTATGAGTGTTGTTTTAGTTTGAAATTTAAAAATTTAAAAAATGAGTTTGCTTATTGGCTTATTTATATTTTTATTTTGTGATTTGCCTATTTGTATTCTTTTTTCAACTTTTTAAATATGAAAAAGTCTAAGATTTCCCACAGATTTTAACATATTTATCACATCTTCCTGGTATTGGGGTGAAGCTTTGTTTTACTAGAGCAGATTAATCCTGCAGACTGTTTAAAGAGGACGACTCTTAGTTCAGTGAACTTCTGACAGCCTTACCACTATCAGAAGGGATGGACACTAACTCTTGTTTTCAGAGTCCCACGTATTTGTATTTGGAACCCTTCACTTAGGACAACTCGAGAGTTGTGTCAGTTGAAGTTCTGCAGGTATCAACAGTGTTTGTGATGGAGTAGCCTTGTAAAATTGTCATTTTTTTATTCAAATTTGTATGCCAACTTGTTCTTAAGAGGGACAGTAAAATAAATAAAACTATCATTTTTGGCTATAATAATAAAACATATCAGAATAAATGACTACTGCAAACTGAATATTTGTCTAGTAATAATCGATGCCATAATGATGTTTTATCTAGTATAATAATACATAGGGGTTGCTGCTTTGGGGAATAAATCTATTTTTCATGTTTCTTTTAAATTTCGATTGATGAGACTGGTGTTTTTGAAACTGTACCTCTACATGAGATTGATTGAAGTATAGTTTTAAACATGCACTGGGTATACTTTTAGTAAAAACTCTGCAAAGAGTGTTTACAGTTACCCTGATAAAATTGAGCTTTTTAGCTTTTATATTTTTTATATCACTAATAATGCCTTCAATCCTGTGTTTAGTGATTTTTATATCATGTGTCCACTAACTAGTGTTAGTTATATAGCGTTAAATATTGTGAGGTGTTTTGATGAGGTAACGTTTATATGAAAGAAAGGATGTTACATAAGTAGAAAGAGAAGTGCTTCAAAAATTGAGATGGAAGGAGGTACACCAAATATTAACAGAATGTTGGTTCCATCTGCTCTTTGGCCAAGTGTTCACTGTTCCAAATGAGCATGGAAGTGTTTTACTGTTTAAAAAATGTGAAATGACTTGTACTATAAAGCTACAGCCACAAAGTTCAATGAACACATAGTATTTGAATGTGAATTAATTTATAAAGGGACACAAAATCCTTTTGGTACCTGATACGAGAAAGAATTTTAATTATTATTCTGATCTTTGGAATTTGGTGTGACTACTTAAGCAGACAAGCATGTATTTTTAATTGTGCAATTGCCAAAAAAGCTTGTGGTTATTCCAGTCATTGTATATCTTAAACGAATACTATATACAGTTGATTTTAAAACTTTGTTAATGCATTACAGTTATTTTCCCAGTTTTTGTTTTGTTTTGTTTTTTTGGTCTGGGATTATCTCCTCCTCATACTCTCAGTGACTTTCTTTTCTTTTCATACTATTATTGCATTCTCTAATGATATTCCACTGTTCTTATCTTCTCTTTCTTACCTTACCCCCTACCCTCAAGCTCTGGCACTGGCTAAATAAGAAGGTAAATGAACACATGGATGTTGGGTTTTATTACTGAATTCTGTAACTTTCCCCGTCTCTCCATTTTCTTTCTGTTTCTGTCCATATGTCAAAATTAGTTTTTGCTTTTAAAGTTCAAATTAATAAGCTATGGAAGGTCGTGAATCATTGGTACTTCACAGTACAATTTGCTAAACACCCAAAGCTATTTATTTAGGATAGATGGTTACTATCTCCTTGCCCAGGTGTGTGTCAGAAGTTCTGTCTTACAGTCCTTTTGTCTACAGTGAGTGATTGCCATTCCTTTTCAGCTCTGTAATGTGGCCCTACTCTAGTCTTCTTTGATGTGTGAGAGCTCATACTTATCGAAAAGGAACAAGAACTTTTTTGTAATAGATTTTATTTATTTATTTATTTGAGAGAGAGAGAGAGAGAGAATGAGCGGGGGGAAGGGGCAGAGAGAGAGAGGGAGAAGCAGTCTCCCTTTTGAGCAGGAAACCAGATGCAGGGCTGGATCCCAGGACCCAGGGAACAAGACCTGAGCCAAAGGCAGATGCTTAACCAACTGAACCACCCAGGCACCCCGGAAAGAGAACTTTTTATTGCTACTTATTTTATAAATGACACAGGAATTTTTGAAAAAGATCTGTGAAATACTTGATTCACTTGGCTGGTAATTTTATATAGTGTCTTTTTTTTTTTTAATAGCTACTCTTCTAGAATTTCATTTTTAACTTATAAAAGATTGTGGTCATGTCCTGTGACCTTTAATTTCATGTATTTCCCAAGGTATGACATTGTATGTATAGTGAATGCTTCGCATGATTTGCATGAAATAGGTACATTTTTAATAACTTCAATAAAGGCTAATCCAGATAAATTAGGAGTGCTGTACTTGTGACATGTAGCCTATATATAGTAACTGTAGACTTAGATTCATCAAATCCCTGAGACAGATGGCAAGAGATGACATTTATGTGTATCATGTTTAGATACAACAAAACCTTAAATTTTCAGTGGAGATATCATAGAAGACCTTAAGAAGAATGTGGTACTTCATAGAAATAGACCAAGGTGACACTTTTAGTATAGAGATTAAGGTTTTCTTCTTTCTTTTGAAGAAGTGGAAAGGGGTGACTTGACTTGCCTTAAACTTCTGAACTTTGGATTGAAAATAAACAGTGTGTAAAATACATACACGCATGCATACACTTATTGGCCACTGCCCTGCTCCTACCAACATACATGCTGTTGTCTATACCTCCATTCCCTGCAAAACTAACATGAGTAAATGAGTTCAATCCTTGGCAAATAATAGTGCTGCAAATAAAAGTCACATTTTCTTATTTTGATCAAAGTAGGTGGTTTTATACACTTCTCCAACTTGTGTATGTTGAAATGAAATTGTCCTCAAGGGATGAGAGAAAGGAGAACTAAAGTCATTAGGTGCAATTTGATTTAACCTTCGGTGACTGCCTGAGTTAGAACACCTAATTTAATAAGAGCCTATTTCATAGCTAGCCAGTTGTGACTCAGGTTTAAAAGATTCCTGAGAGATCACGTGAAGGTTTCCTTTCTTTGATGATTCCATATAGTATAGGTAAAGCATCGGTGGAGAGTGGGAGTGACTGCTGTAAGTTCTGGGACTGTCTATTCCAGGAAAGCACATAAATAAGTTGAGGTCTATTTTATTACATTATATCCAAGGTTAGAAAATTTGCAGCTTGGGTATTTGGTGTTTCAGCTTTAAGTGGAGTGAACTAGGAAACTAATTCAAGGGAAGGGAGGGTGAGAGAGAACATATCTGTGGTTAATTGAGACAGAGCCTATTTCTCAAGGCTTGTTTTATTTTTTAGTGTTGGTTATTTGCACTAAGACTCAACTAGAATTTGGTTAAAAAAAAATAAAAGAAAGCCTACAGACCCAGAATAATGAATAGAAAACTCAGTCGTGGAATGATAGCTTTCTTAATAGCTTCCTATACACAAAGCCAATTTAGAAGTTTCAAAGTTTTGCAGTATAACCATACATTTACTGACCTCTCTAAGTTTTGAAAAAATGCATGCCCTTCCTTCACACTGCAAACATTCAGAATGTCATTTTAAAATGACTCTCCTTCCCCTTTAAGAAAGTAAAGTTTAATAACTAAAATAATTTCTCAGAGCAAGGAAGGCTGGGGAGATCACCAGGGACAGTGTGACTTCTATGGGCAGGCGGTAATGACAGCGGATGGCAGTGACGACAGGTGGTGTGGATTCTGCTGCCCAGAGCTGAACACAGCACAAGATCGGTCTCCTCCGACAGTGCCTTCGGCATTTCTTTACGAATTCTCTCCTCCATTCCCTTCTGCTTCTCTATTGCTTCTTCTGTCCGTGTGTCTCTCTCTCTTTCTTTCTTTTTTTTTTTTTTCTTAAAGATTTCATTCATTAGAGAGAGAGAGAGTGAGCGACAGAGAGAGCACGAGCAGGGGCAGAGGGAGAAGCAGACTCTCTCCGGCTGAGCAAGGAGCCTGATGTGGAGCCCGATCCTAACACCCCGGGATCATGACCCGAGCTAACGGCAGATACTTAACTGACTGAGCCACCCAGGCGCCCCTGTGTTTCTCTTTCTTTGTCTGAGTTTCTGTTTCCTCGAGAGTCTTGTTCCATTCACCTTTTTATGGGGGTTCTTTTCCTCCATCTAAGTTTTGTGTCCACTTTTGTTATTTCCTCTTTATTGATTGGTCCTTTGTTCTGTGCACCAGTTTCCCCCAGCCACACACTTTTTTCTCCTGTTTTGACCTTTAAAACAACAACAACAACAACAAAACCCTCCCTTTATTCTTTGGTAACTCTTCCCCCATCTCTTTCCCACTCTTCTCTCTCTCTTTACCTGTCTCCATTTTTGTCCTGTTTTTTCACTGTAACTTAACCAGAGATAGAGGGACTGGATCTCCCTCCCCATCTTTTTAGTTTTTATATTGAGCATCTTAAATAGTTCTATTTGTTTTAAATTTTGAATGAAACCTCTAACCCCTACTGTTAGCCCTGAATACAGATTTTTATCTTATCACTTTATCTCTTAGTGTGGATTTTTTCTAACCCTTAGGTATATGGCTTCTGATAGGAAAATTCTACCCTGGTTTAAAAACATAAAGTTTGATTTTGTAATGTTGATATACATAATGTATTTGTGAATTCCATGTTTTATATGTTAGAAATACCCACACTTAAATTTAGATACATTTTCTAAATCATCATTTACATTTTAAAAACATATTTCAGAATAGTCATTTTTTAGAATATTAGGGTTCCCAAGTTATTTTTAGAAATTATAGTTTGTGAATACAAATCTGGTCTTAATTCTGAAGTTATTTATGTTTGCCTGTTCAAATATATATTTGAGCTTTTACCATGTGCCACGCACTGTCAGGCTTGGGAACTACAAAGAAGGAGAATAGTAGCTCTTTCTTCAGGAAACTGTCTTAAGAACTATTTAAGAGTTGGTTTCTGATTGTACAACTGGTAAGTTTCAATTGATTTTAGAACGTACATTCAAAATATGACATCTGACCTTCCATATCTTAGAAACTTGATACTACTTTTTTTAATCTTTGTCTTTGATGCTTTGGTGGCATGCACTGAAAATTAACTCTTCTGTTTGAAGCTATAATTGTCAAGATAAAAGATGAACTTTTTATCTTTGAGTTCACTGCAGCGTTGATCTCTCAATGATAGTATCTTTCATGAAAGATAAAGGGATGCAAGCTTATAGCATGGAATGGAAAATATTTTAGAAGTCATGTTTTGTTTTTAACCACCATTCTTTGCTCTTGTGTGTTTAACTCACTGGAGGCATAATTCAGATTTAAATTAAGACTAACTTATTCAGCAATGCTGTAGCTTAAGTAGGGGTTGAGGGATACAATGCGGTGTTTCAGTAGTCATCAGTCTAGTTGATTTTATTTTTGAAATGTTACATGGTAGCTTTGCATGGGAGGAATTGTAGAAATCTGTCATAGTTATTATATATTCTGAAAACAAAATTTTTTTAAAATGTAAGGTTATTTGTGATTGTGAAAGATGAGAGAAGTTATACTCAAAATATAGCATTTAGGGAGAGCTGTAATTTTATTGATTAAGGAATTGATTAAGGAATTTATTGATTAAGGAATAACCATTGTAGTAATGATTATTCTTTATTTACAGTCAATTTGTCCTAGAGCTTATGTTTTAAAAAGAATGGATATTTCAAGTGGAATGTCAGATTTTAAAAAGTATTTTGTTATGAAATATTTCATATATAAAAATATGTAAAGAACATCAGTGAGTCTGTCCTCCAGCTTGATAAAACATTCCCTGTATAATTAAAGCCCATTTTGTATCCCTTCTAATTGTGCATCTACCTGCTGACCTCCCACCCGCAGGGTAGTATTCTGAAATTGATATTATCATTACCTTCACCTTAGATTCTTATTGTTACTGTTTTTGTAACCTTAGTGGCATCAAAGGGAAAAAATATTTTGAATGTAATTCCTATTTAATTTGCTCCTATTTTGTTTGTATAATTTAGGGAATACCTATTTTGTAAGACATACTTTTTCTAAAGCTATATATTTACTAATTGATAGTAAAATTCCAGGAGATTTGAGGTCAGCTAATGTACTATCATTACTTCGTTTAAATATTTTATTTCATTTCAAATATTTACCAGATTATGAATTATAACTTGAAATGTAAATATACTATTGTGTGAGAATTCAAACATAAATATGTTCAAATTGACTGCCTTTCTTAGATAGGACAATAATAAACTTTTTATATAACAACAGTAATTAATGCTATTAGTTAATTTTCTGAACTTGCTTACAGCTTTCGCTGCTTTAATCGTTATGCCGTAGTTTGATTTGCAATGCTGAATATCCTATTTTGTCTTAATAATATTTGGATATATATGCATTTTTATTAAGTTATGCTCAGAAGATAAGTAATTCTCTTTTTCCTTTCTATGCAGATGATCATCTGGTTGGAGAAGATGTTAGACAAAATAATAAGCATTTTCATCATATTTTTGTTAGTAATAGGAACTCTTCTGTTAGCTCTACTCCTGACTGCAAAGGTAGAGTATGACAGTTACTATTGCCATTAATAAACTCTTGTTGGAATTTTAGTATGCAGGGGTGCATGGGTGGCTTAGTTGGTTAGAAATCTGACTCTTGGTATAACCTCAGGTCTTGATCTCAGGGTTGTGAGTTCAAGCCCAAAACTGGGCTCCATACTGGGAGTGGAGCCTACTTAAAAAACTGTAGTATGTACAAGAAGCTGGCAGAAGCTGGCATGGAAAGCTTCCTTTGCTTATAAATATATATAACAAATTATTTAGATTTTTGCATTATTGGTTTTGCCCTGAATTTGTCTACTTTTAATTTTTTTATGTGCATTTTTATTTTGTTTTTAGCAAAATCCTCAGAAGTGATCACAGAAGAAATGATCACAGATAGTGAAGAATAAATGGCTTCTTTTAAATGGGAGAACTGTGATCTGGTCTCATGAGTCCTAATCTAGTTAGTTCCTTGTTTACTAGATCAGAATTTCTTGATTAGCTCCTTCCCTTGTCCCCTTGGTCTTTCTCTAATATACCATAGAATCTTTATATCTCAATTTCTAGGTCCTTCTAGCTTACACTTCCAGGTATTTCTCTTCTTAGTTTGGACTGCTGTAACAGAATACTATACACTGGGAGGCTTAAACAACAAACTTTTATTTGTCACAGTTCTGAAGTTGGGGAGTCTCAGATCAAGGTGCCATCACAGTCAAGTTCTTGGTAAAAGGCACTCTGTCTGGTTTAGAAATGACCGTTTTCTTCTTGTATCCTCACATGGGGGAGAGAAAGGTCACCTCTCTTGTGTCTTTTCTTATAACAACACTGATACCATAATGAGGGCTTCCATCCTGGTGAACTAATTACTTCCTAAGGCCCTGTCTCTTAACCATCATATTGGAGGTTTGGATTTGAACATAAGAATTTTGGGGGGATACAAACATTCAGGTTTTAACACCCTTCTTTGTTTAAAAAAAAAATCTCTAAAGTGCAGCTAGAATTTTCTCTATAGTGATGTATCTTCTTGACTTTTAAAATAAATTTTTATTTTATTTTTATTTATTTATTTTTTTAAACTTGGGTTTTTTGTTTTTTTGTTTTGTTTTGTTTTGTTTTAGATTCCATTTATTTATTTGACAGACAGAGATCACAGGTAGGCAGAGAGGCAGCCAGAGAGAGAGGAAGGGAAGCAGGCTCCCCGCTGAGCAGCGAGCCCGACGCGGGGCCCGATCCCAGGACCCCGGGACCATGACCCGAGCCGAAGGCAGAGGCCTCAACCCACCGAGCCACCCAGGCGCCCCTATTTTATTTTATTTTATTTTATTTTATTTTATCTTAATCTTTATCTGAAGTCCCCTGAACTTGTCATCCTAGGTTTTGATATGTTACTTTCCAGGAAGTGTGAAGTTTATGTGAAATCATGGATATGAAAAATTTTCATACAGTGCTGTAGAGATATGTTATCAGTAGATAATCTGATATGCAGAATTTACTGAGGGATTGCATTGTTTCCTGTTATATGAATCTCTACTTGGAAGTCCTATTCTTAGTTATTTTTAGGCTCAGTATGTCTTCAGTCTCAGCTCGTAATAACTTGCTCTCTCCATATCTCTGTTTCAGTTTTTATGTAATTCTTGTTTTCTGGATACTGATCATGTATAGTCACTTATATAAACTGTATAGACTTGTTTAGAGACCTTTTTTTGTTTTTGCTACATTTTGCCTAAACCTGCAATTATACATTCTTACCTTCTATTCTAGTTCTTAGAGAAACCTTATAACAGTATGAGCTTCCATTTTTCTTTTTCTTCTCTCCCGCTCTTCCATTTCACTTTCCTTTCTTTGCTTCTTTGCAGAGGGTCTTCTTGACTGCTCATGTCAATTTTTTTTTTTGAGATTTTATTTATTTATTTGAGAGGGAGAGAGAGAGAGAGCAAGCAAAAACACAAGAACAGGGGGAGGAAGAAGCAGACTCCCTGGAGAGCCGGGAGCCCAACAAGGGGCTGGATCCCAGGACCCCAGGATCATGGCCCGAGCCCAAGGCAGATGCTTAACTGACTGAGCCACGCAGGCTCCCCTGCTCATGTCAATTCTATTCATTTTTCATATCCTTTTTTTTTTTGCTCAACCCATGCTTCAGTGAGCTTTTGCTTTCCTGAACTTGGATAACATGTATTATCTAGGTGGTCTAGGATTTATGCAAACTGAGCTTTTGAAGGAAACTTATTGGTTATCTAGTTTATTCTCCCAGCCAGTAATGGGATTCTCTAACACCCTGAGAGTATCCACTTGAATGTCTAATAGCCATCTCAAATATAACATATCAAAAACTGAACTTCAGCTCTTCCCTTGCTTGTGTGTTCTCCTCCTGAAAGTCTAAGTATTTTGGCGTAAATGACCAGTCCATTCTACTTGCTTAGGTGAAAAGCTTCTGAGTCGTCCTTGACTACATTCTTTCCTTTTGTTATCCACATCCAGTCTGTCAGAATTCCTTTTAGGCTTCATCTTTGGATAATAACAGGGCAAGGATGTCAAATAATTCCTTCCCACAGAAAGCAAGAGCAAAACAGCATAAAATTATTAAAAATACTGGGAAGCTGGGGCACCTGGGTGGCTCAGTGGGTTAAAGCCTCTGCCTTCAGCTCAGGTCATGATCCCAGGGTCCTGGGATCGAGCCCCACATCGGGCTCTCTGCTTGGCCAGGAGCCTGCTTCCCTTCCTCTCTCTCTGCCTGTCTCTCTGCCTACTTGTGATCTCTGTCTGTCAAATAAAAAAAAAAAAAAAATACTGGGAAGCCTGGGTGGCTCAGTCAGTTAAATGTCTGACAACTCAGTTCATGATCCTAGGGTTCTGGGATTGAGCCCTGTGTTGGGCTCCCTGCCGAGCAAGGAGTCTGCTTCTTCCTTTCCCCTTGCTCATCCCCCTGTTCATGCTCTTTCTGTCTTTCTTTCAAATAAATAAAATATTTAAAAAAGTTATTAAAAGCAATGTATGAGGGCATTGAAAAACCATCAGGCAATTTGAGGAGTATTTCCTCATGAAAAACTGTTACTGAAGCTGGTAAAACAGGTAGTTTGTGGCTTTTGTGCTTGGAGTTTTTCTCATTCTGCCTAGCTTGGGCAACAGAAACCTGCAGCTTTTCCTGTGGGAGGTAGTAGACTTGGTCTGGGGCTGGCAAGAGAGCAGCTATAAATTAAAGGGAGAGATTCTGGAAGCAAGAGAACCATGAAGGGCTTAATTATAAGAAGATTAATAAACCATACATCCTAAACTGGTATCTGGGAGACTCCAAGGAGCCCTGTGCACTTTGAAAGCTTGGGGAATTTGCAAATTGGTTGTGCCTTTGATTGCATTTCTCAATTTACACATCTTAGGCTGCAGAGAATGAAGATTCCTATTGTGGGCATGATTTTTGCCAAAATCATTTGCTGACTGCTAAACTATGCAGGCTCAGGGGAAGGCTTTAGGCTTTAAAAAATAATAATAAAATAAAAAACACTGGGCAGAAACATCAGTGACAGGGAGGGCAGATTTGCAATTTCACTACAGATAAGGTAATTGCTTACTGAAACAACAACAGCTCTCAGAAGAACAAAACAAAATCCAGAGTTGCTACAACACATTTTTAAAAAAATTTTTTTTTAACTAGAAATTACTAGACATAAAAGAAACAGATAAGTGTGACTTGGAGGGGGGAAAAAAGCAGTCAAAGAAAGGGATACTTAAGTAGTGCAGATGTTGGATTTAGCAGCTATAATAAATATGTTCAAAAATTAAAGGAAAGTATGCTAATAATTTATAAATAAATGCAGATGCTCAGCAGAGAAATGGAGACTATAAAACAGAACTAACTAGAAATCCTAGAGCTGAAGAGAGCAATAACAAGAAAAATTTACCAGATAGGCTCAACAGCAGATTTGGGATCCAGGGGGGGGAAAAAAAGAATGAATTTGAAGAAAGATCAATAGAAGGTTTCCAATCTGATAAACAAAATATTTTTAAGATAGTGGATGAGGAAAGACTCAAAGATTTGTAAGATGATAGCAAAGATTCTAATAGATATGTAATTGGCATCCCAGAAAGTGAAAGGAGAAAGAGAAGAGTGGAAAAAAATATTTGAAGAAATAATGGTTAAAAACTTGTCAAGTTTGGTGAAGAACAATAAAATAGCCAAGAACTCAACAAATGCTGAGTGGAATAAATACATATACAACAAAACCTGGACACCAATCATAGTCCAACTACTGGAAGCCAAAAAGATAAAAAAAAATCTTGAAGGAAGCAAGAGAAAAATTACACATCACACACAGGAGAACAATAAAACAAGTAACAACTGACTTCTCATAATAAACAGTGAACACCACATGACATTGGAATGACATATTTAGCCTTGGGAAGAAAACAACTAGTCAGCCAAGAATTTTATATTCACTGAAACTATTCTTTTTTTTTTTTTTTTTTTTTTAAGATTTTATCTATTTCTTAGAGCATGCACACACGAGAGTGAGAGAACAGGGAGCCTGATGTGGGACTTGATCCCAAGATGCTGGGATCATAACCTGAGCGGAAGGTGGACACTTAACTGACTGAGCCAACCAGGCGTCCCTCCGAAACTATTTTTTGAAAGTAAGAGCACAATAAAAGTATTTCTAGATAACCAAAACTGAGAATTAGTTAATAGCAGACCCACAGTATAAGGAATGCTAAAGGAATTCCTTCAGACTGAACAGAAATGACTCCAGAAATAACTTGTATCCAAAGGGAAGAATGAAAAGCACTTGGTAAATATGTGGATATATATATAAATTACATTCCCTTCCTTGTCAGTTTATTTAAACAACAGGACTATTTAAAGAAAAGTAAAAAAGTAAAAAATACTATATTTTAGAGTTCATAATGCACATACATGAACTATATGTGTAACCATAGCACAAAAAGAAGAGTGGGAAACAGAATTATCCTGGTATGAAGTTCTTATATTTAATTGGAAGTAAGTCAGTATAACTTGAGGTGGTTTATGTAAAAGATGTGGTTGGCTTAAGACAAATAGCAACCATTAAATTTTAGAGAAACTAAAATGCTATACTAAAAATATGCTTTACACAGAAGGCAGTGAAAGAATAGGGATGAAACAGAAAGCAGATAGGAAAATGGCAGACCTAAATCCAGTCATGTCAGTGGCTATATTAAATATGAGGCAATTAAATAATCAAATGGCAGAGATTTTCAGTCTGGATATAAAGTAGCAAGTTCTAGCAAATGGTATCTATAAGTGGTTTATCCTTGAAATTCAAAGCCATAAAAAGATGGATAGTGAAAGGATGAAAAAAGATAATACCATGCAAATGGTAAACATAAGAGTTATAAATTATAGGGGTGCCTGGGTGGCTCAGTGGGTTAGGCCTCTGCCTTTGGCTCAGGTCATGATCTCGGGGTCCTGGGATCGAGCCCTGCATCGGGCTCTCTGCTCAGCGGGGAGCCTGCTTCCCCTCTCTCTCTGCCTGCCTCTCTACCTACTTGTGCTCTTTCTCTCTGTGTCAAATAAAAAAAAAAGAGTTATAAATTATATTAATATCAGACAATGTAGTTAAATATTACTGAAGACCAATAAGAAATGAGGTCTTTCCATAATGATGGGGTAATACTGCAGTAGGATATACCGATTTTAAGTGTGTATGTTCCTAACAATAGAGCTCTAAAATACATGAAGCAAAATATTCAGAATTAAAAGGAGAAATAGTTAGGGATTCAGTAATACTCCTCTTGCAGTAATTGAGAGAATAAGTAGATGCAAATTAGTAAGAATATAAAAATCTTAAAAAACGCTATTGGCCAATGTGAAGTGACAACAGCAGAATCATGTTCTTTCGAGTAAACATGGAATAGCAAGACAAACCATATGCTCAATATGCCTCCTTTAAAAATAGTAAAATATAGGGGCACCTGGGTGGCTCAGTCCATTAAGTGGCTGCCTTCAGCTCAGGTCACGATCTCGGGAAGTAAGGCCCAAGTCGGGCTCCCTACTCTGTGGGAAATTGGCTTCTCCCTCTGCCCCTTCCCCTGCTTGTTCTCTCTTTCTCCAATAAACCTTTTTAATTTTTTTTTAAAGATTTTATTTATTTATTTGACAAACAAATATCACAAGTAGGCAGAGAGGCAGGCAGAGAGAAGAGGAAGCAGGCTCCCTGCCAAGCAGAGAGCCGGATGCGGGGCTCGATCCCAGGGCCCCAGTATCGACCTGAGCCAAAGGCAGAGGCTTTAACCCACTGAGCCACCCAGGTGCCCCTCCAATAAATCTTTTATTTTTATTTATTTATTTTTTTTAAAGATTTTATTTATTTATTTGTCAGAGAGAGAGAGGGAGAGAGAGAAAGCACAGGCAGACAGAATGGCAGGCAGAGGCAGAGGGAGAAGCAGGCTCCCTGATGAGCAAGGAGCCCGATGCGGGACTCGATCCCAGGATGCTGGGATCATGACCTGAGCCGAAGGCAGCTGCTTAACCAACTGAGCCACCCAGGCGTCCCAATCTTTTAAAAAATAGTAAAATAAAGAGCATGTTCTCTGGCATTGGCTTGTTTCTTTTTATCCCCCCCCCCCCCCCCTCTCTCTCTCTCTTTTTTCTTAATTTAGAGAGGGAGAGAGTGCGGAGGGCAGAGGGTGAGAAAGAATCTCAGGCAGACTCCACGCTGAGTGGGGATCCCGACACAGGGCTTGACCTCCCAACCCTAAGATCATGACCTGAGCCAAAATCAAGAGTCTGTCACTTAACTGACTGAGCCACCCAGGCACCTCTGTCCTCCTCATTTTGTTTGTTATTTAGAAAGGTAAATTCTGAGATGGAGTTTCAGCTGGTTTTTTGTTTTGTTTTGTTTTACTCTGAAACTTTACTAAATTCTTTGTTTGATGTCTCACACCACATCATAATTGTATAAGCTCATGCAGTGTTGATAAAGCTTACGTATACTGTAGACATATAACGTGTGTGAACTGAATATATCTATCTATTTGTCTTGTGTATGGGTATAAATATTTGAATATATCTTTTAATGTAATTTTTCCTGAAGTTGATGAGCTTGAAGTCAGAGAGCTAGTGTGTATTTTTTATTTTCCATAGTGAGGGTCATAGGACATTATGTATAACAGCTGTTCCGTACAGGTTTCTAAATTAATTGGAACTAAGTGTGTAATTATTTGACTCAAAATCATTGTTCCAATAACAGTGTAGAAAAATAAATGTTAAATTGAGCTTATTTTTTATTGAGATTCTTTTCTCTCCTATCCGTAATACAGGTGCATCAAGAGAGTGTACACATGATTGAAGTCACAAGCAATTTGATTAATGAGACTCTAGCAAATCACCCTGAGTGGGCAAAGTAAGAATGTTATTTTGGCAAAAATAGAAATGGATGCCCTAGGTTTAGTATCTGTTTTCACAAAATGATCTTCATTGATGCAGCGAATTGGGAAGAGAGATTTGATGAATGTTGACATTTTTGCATGAGAATGTCATGTTTTGGGGGATGGTGGGAGAGGGATGTACATAAGATTTTGGGAACAGTTTATTGTCATTGCCTTTATATTTGAAATGAGATTTGTAGTTTATAATATGTTTATGATTTGCAAAGCACTTTCACCTACCATGTGTCTTGTGTTCCTCGCAGTGACTGAGGCGATTGGAGAGACTGTCCCCATTTCATACACAGGAAATCAGGATCAAAAGTTAAGCAAATTGAGATAGTCCCCCAGTGGCAGAGTTAGCAGTGTTTCCACCTTGTATCTTTTTTTTTTTTTTTTTAAGATTTATTTATTTTAGAGAAAGAGCTGAGCTAGAAGAGGGGTAGAGTGAGATAGGTAGGGAGAGAATCCCAAGCAGATTAGCAGCTGAGTGTGGAGCCCAATGCGGGGCTTGATCTCACTACCCTGAAATCATGACCTGAGCTGAAACTGAGTCAAATGCTTAATGGACTGAGTCATCCAAGGGCTCTCACATTGTATCATTTTAGAGTCAAGGTTGGCAATCTGTGGCTCAGGGTGAAATCCAGCCACCTGTTTCTGTAAAGTTTTGTTTTGTTTTGTTTTGTTTTTGTTGTTGTTGTTTTAAATTTATTTTCAGCATAACAGTATTCATTGTTTTTGCACGACACCCAGTGCTCCATGCAATCCGTGCCCTCTCTAATACCCACCACCTGGTTCCCCCAACCTCCCACCCCCCGCCCCTTCAAACCCCTCAGATTGTTTTTCAGAGTCCATAGTCTCTCATGGTTCACCTCCCCTTCCAATTTCCCCCAACTCCCTTCTCCTCTCTAACTCCCCTTGTCCTCCATGCTATTTGTTATGATCCACAAGTAAGTGAAACCATATGATAATTGACTCTCTCTGCTTGACTTATTTCACTCAGCATAATCTTGTTGTTGTTGTTGTTGTTGTTTTTTAAAGTTTTTTTATCTATTTATTTGTCAGAGGGAGAGAGAGAGAGAGAGAGCAAGCGCGCACAGGCAGACAGAATGCCAGGCAGAGGCAGAAGCAGAAGCAGGCTTCCTGCTGAGCAAGGAGCCAGATGTGGGGCTCCATCCCAGGACGCCGGAATCATGACCTGAGCCGAAGGCAGCCGCTCAACCAACTGAGCCACCCAGGCTTCCCATTGTTGTTTTTTAAAGATTTTACTTATTTATTGGTTAGAGAGATAGAGCACAAGCAGGGGTAATGGCAGGCAGAGGGAGAAGCAGGCTTCCTACTGAGCAAGGAACCAATACAGGACTCCATCCCAGGATCCCAGGATCATGACCTGAACTGAAGGCAGACGCTTAACCGGCTGAGCCACCCTGGCATCTCTGTAATTTATCAGGCCTAGTAGACACTTGTTAGTCATTAAAGATCTATTCAAATACTAATGTGAATTCTCATACTTTAACACTAGAGGTTATAATTTTCCCCATAAAATGTCGTACCAGATAATTGAAAATATTCAGCAGTTCCTTCAAAGCATTGATGAACTAGAATAATTTAAAAGCTACTTAATTTTTTCCCAAATCCCACCTCTATTTAAAGATCTCAATTTCCTGTTCATATCTTCATACTTAGATTATTACATTTGTAATCATCTCTAAAGTTTTGTCTTAACTTGCTGAGAAATATTTGAGAATTTGCCAAAAGTTTCAGAAATACTTTATTTGGAGTATAGGAAGAACTGGTTAATATTAAAGATTGAAACCTTACCAATTTGAAGTTGCACTTTCTAATGTATCCAGAATGTCTGGAGGATGTTGTTTATCGAGGAGACATGCTTCTGGAAAAGATACAAAGTGCCCTTGTTGATATTGCACAGTCACAACTGAAGACAAGGGGTGGTACCCATAGTCAGTCTCTTCCAGACTCCTAGAACCGGTATATACCATGTGGCTGAGAAAAGAACTATTTCAGTGCCATTAAGAATTCTGCATCAAACTTAGATGTAAGCCTTACCAACAGTTACAGAAACATTAAGCACTATGACACGTTACCTTTTTAGCTATTTTTTAATAGTCTTCTATTTTCACTCTTGATAAGTAAGCCTCTAAAATTGTGATTGAACCAGCTTTAAACCATCATTATACCATCATTTTTTATTATTGAAATGAAATTATTGAGGTAGATATTGCATTAATTGTTATAATATAATTAAACAGATGTACTTTAAAATTCTAAAAAAAAAATGTCTTTTTCTTTGGTTAAAAACAAGTGCTTTCCTAGGTATCATTACATTTTGTCAGTGGCAGTTGGCTTTCTTTTTAGGATCATCTCTCTCTCTCTCTTACACAAATACACACGCAAGCTAGCTATCACTTCCAATTTACTATATAAAGTACTACAAGGATATAAAACTGCTGTAAGTCGAGAACATTGTGCATTTGACTTGACTCTTTCCCATAAGCCAGCTTTGTAGTGTGTGTCATAGTTAGGCCTCGGGAAGGTTCTTAGTTACTGCTTGCCTGGGCCTTTGGGCATCACTCATGGATAGTTGAAATCAGGACTATTCATTTTGTGAATGTCAACATCTGTTGACATTCTCTGAAGTACAATTTAAAGAGTACCTTTAAGTAGTACCTTAAAGAGTACCTGAAGAGTACTCTTTAAATTGTACCTCTGAGGTACAATTTAAAGAGTATATGAGGGGCGCTTGGATGGCTCAGTTGGCTAAGGGTCTGCCTTTGGCTCAGGTCATGATCTCGGGATCCTGGGATCAAGTCCTGTGTCAGGACTCCCTACTCAGCGTGGAGTCTGCTTCTCCCTCTCCCTCTGCCCTTCCCCCTGCTTGCGTGCATGCTCTCTTCCTCTCAAACAAATAAATAAGATCTTAAAAAAAATAAAGAATACATGAAGATATTTCTCATTCGGAAAGCACTGGGCGTATGAAATGTGTTATTGATTAAGTCAGATGATATAGCCTGCTCAACAGGATAGTAGGGAGGCCGTCTCTCATGGCATGAAGAGAAGTTTTTTCTTTCTCAGTTCTTAGATCAACGTGTATGAGAATCACTTTCAGAGCTCATTAGGGTCCTGGTTGCTGGGCCCCAGCCCTGTTTCTTTTTCAGTAGGTCTGGACCTGGGCGCAAGAGTTTGTATGTCTAACACGTTTCCAAGCAGTTCTGATGCTGGAGTAAGGCTGGTGCTGAATAAGGCAGATGATCCAGGATGTGTATGGGCAGAGAAACCAGGCAGAGCAGAATGAAAGGGAGGTTGTGGGGAAGGTGGGTCTAAAAGCTAAGGCGAGCTTGAACAGCCTCTCAGTTGGTAGAATTAAGTGTTAGTCAAGGATTCCTGCATGGGATTCATTTGTATCCTCGTGTGATGACTGATTAATAATTTGTCAGTTACTGATTGTTTAAATATATGGAATTCCAAGAGCTACTGACATAGTCCACTAAAAATGTACTAGTTTTAATTTTTTCTTTCTTTTATTTTAAATTAGTTGGCTTCCTGAGGCTCAAGTAGTCCAAAGAGCCCTCAATTCTGCAGCTAACAACGTGTACCAGTATGGAAGAGAATGGATAACACACAAGGTAAGAGGAGAGCCTCTCTCTGCAAGGTCTTCATTGGTAGGGGCCTCCGTTTGATGAAGTGTAAATGGAGTTTCTCTTTAGAACAGTTTCTGTTTTTGAAATATGCTTAAATCTACAGGTCAACGAGAAACATACAATGAAAGTAAACTTTCTGGAAGATTGTCTTTAACAGTGCTAGTAGCCTGAACAGAGAGGTTGGTCCTTTGCTTCTTGCTCAAGGTAGATACTCTTTATTTGTGCCTTAGGACAGAATGATCTTTAAGATTGGGTGGTCAAATAAGACTTTGTGGAGAAAAAAATGGTTGTTAGCAAATATTAAATATTATTATCTGCTGGTAACTGTGCTTGGCAGTTTCCAGTTTGTTTCATTTAATCTTTCTAAGACATCTGCAGTAGTCTAAATTGTTTGGCCCATTTTGCAGAGGAAGAAACAGGCTTAGCAAGGCTAAGTAAATTCCCAGAGGTCATGTAGTGAATGGCAGAGCTTGGTTTCAAACTGAAGACTGCTTGTAAATCCCTTGTTGTTTCTGCTGTAGCACGCTGGAAGAGCACGATCGGAACTGGGCTAGGTGCTTTGCTGTGGCACTTGAGATAAACCGTGAAGGATTGAATGATAGGTTTTCGATGAATAAAGAGAAGGAATCCTGTATTTTAAGGAGTGTTCATGTGAGCCAAGATATGGAGGTGGGGGTGTGCTTGAGATTAGTTGTCTGAAGCTTTGTGGAAGGAAATGAAGGGTAGAGGATAAGGCACAATTACTGCAGGTAATGGTCCGTTTCTGTGATACAAATTTGGGATTACCCTCCCCCCACAATATTACCTATGGGAAAGAAGGTAATTTGGAATTTTAGTATATTGAAGTAATTAGGAACATCTACGGATTAACAAGATTTGTTGCAGTGAGATGTATGTTCAGGAAAAAAGTATTGGTATGTGATTCCTTGTTTAAAATTCAATAACAGGGGTGCCTGGGTGGCTCAGTGGGTTAAGCTTCTGCCTTCGGCTCAGGTCGTCATCTCAGGGTCCTGGGATCAAGCCCGGCATCGGGCTCTCTGCTCATGGGGGAGCCAGCTTCCCTCCCTCTCTCTGCCTGCCTCTCTGCCCACTTGTGATCTCCCTCTCTGTGTCAAATAAAATTCCATAACAAAAGCCTCAAAAAGAAAGTTATCTTAAAAATTACAGTGTATACATGTGTATAGTAATCTAACCTAAGAATGGAATTGTGGTTGAGTAAAAAGTTAAAAGAAAGATCTGTGTAACTGATTTTCTTAAGTCCATGCCAGGTGACCTAATCGAATGCCACATGGAAGTCTTTAAAAGATAAGTTTATGAGTATAGCTCTCCTAACTATCATAGAAGATCCAGCCAGCCATTGCAAAAGCATTTTAGACTTCTAGAACTGTATTGGCTGACTTACTCTGCTGAAAGCAGAACATTTAGTTTTTTTGGTTTTTCTATTTGAGTTCTGGAATTCTTGCCTATTTGGGAAGAGTTGGAGAAATGTGCCTAAGATTTTATAGAAATAACTTTCAGATTACTTAGAAGTTATGTTTGAAACCCTTTACCCAAGCCTCGAAAGGAAAGACAGTTGAAGAGAGATGGGTCTTGCTAACAAAGGTTGTAACATATTCATCATCCTGATTTGGAAGACACGGGGATAGGATCTAAAACCAGTCATTGACTATCCATTGACTGATGAATGGATAAGCAAAATGTGGTATATCTAAATGGTGGAGTATTATTTGGCCATAAAAAGGAAGGAAGCACTGATACATTCTACCATGTGGATGAACCTTGAAAACGTTATGCTAAGTAAAAGAAGCAATCAAACTAGATACGTATGATTGCATTTATATGAAATGTCCAGAAGAGGTATATCTACAGAAAAAGAGAATAGAGTAATGGTTTCCAAGGGTAGGGGAGATTTAGCGAAATTAGGGAGTGATTGCTAAGGAGTATGGAGGTTCTTTTTGGGGTAATGAAAATGTTCCAAAATTGGTTTTGGTGATGGTCACATAACTCTGAATATACTAAAAGAAACTATTGAATTGTACACAGAAGTGGGTGAATTATAAGGTGTGTGAATTATCTCAATAAAGTTGTTTTTTAAAAAGAACCATTGAGGCTCCTGGGTGGCTCAGTTGGTTAAGGGTCTGCCTTCGGCTCGGGTCATGATCCCAGGGTCCTAGGATCAAGTCCCACAATGGGCTCCCTGCTCAGCTGGGAGCCTGCTTCTCCCTCTGCATGCCACTCCTCCTGCTTATGCTCGTACCCTCTCCCTCTCTCTCTCTCTCTCTGTCAAATAAATAAATAAAATCTTAAAAAAGAAAAAAACCCTAAAAACCATTGAAATTGTAGAAGTTGAAATGTAGAAATACTAAGATTCCTTTATTTATTTTAGAATTTTAGAGCAAGCTCGGAGTTGGGAGGGGGAAGGGAAAAGGGACAGAGAGTGACAGAGGGAAAAGGCGAGGGGGAGAGAGAGAATCCCACACAGGCTCGTTGCTGGAATGGGGAGCCCAGTGTGGGGTTTGAGCCCACAACCCTGAGATCATTACTGGAGTCAAAATCAAGAATTGGATGCTTAACCTACTGAGCCACCCAGGTACCCCTGTAAGGGCTAGCTTTTCTACTAAGCTCAGATCTCATCCAGCTAACAATCATGAGAGAATTGGGTCCTAAGAGCTAAAGTATAAAAAGGGATAAAGCTAGGATAAGAGGTCATACTCAGAAAAGGTAGAGTTTTTTAGGGTATGTGTAGGTATGAACAGAGAAGGTTTCTGTCTACCTGCCCCAGTCTGCCTTGTCAGCCTTATCTCTTATATCCTCCATGCATTATAGTACCCAGATCTGCTAGTTTTCTCTTGCTCAAATCTAGTTTGCTTTCTTCATTGGACATCCTTGCTTGAGCTAACCTTTCTGCTTAATAATGTTCTTTCCAGAATTTATACGTAGAGATGCTGCCCTGAGACAGTAGGAAAATTAGTCCTGAATGGGTTTTCACTGTCCCTTCTCCCATGCCTAGAATGAAGGAAGTGACAGCCAATCCACAAATGTGCCAGGCACTGTTCTAAGTTCTGGGGAAAAGCAGTAGACCAGAAAGAGTTGCCACCCTCCTGGAACTTACTCTGAGAGGAGGAGGAGAAAGACATGAAACATGTCAAGAAGTAACCATTTCTGTTCCAGAAGTGTTGTGACCAGGTAATGCAGAGTCACCCAAAGCGATGCCTTAGCTAGAACGCCAGAGAATGTCTCTGAGAAGGTAATGCTTTCACCAAGACTGGGAAAGGAATGTTTCAAGTTGAGGGCATAGAAAAATCCAAGGCTCTGAGGTAGGAACAAGCTTGGTTGAAGGAAAGAAAGAAGGCCAATGTGGCTGGAATGGGGGATGTAGTGACAGGATGAGCTATAGGTGATGATAAGAAGTTGGAATTTTATTTTAGTTACAAAGATATATATGGATTTAAAGCAGAAAGGGACATGACCTGACTTAGGATATTGAAAGCTCATTTTGGCTGCTTTATTGGGAGTGATGGGCAGGAATGGAGGAGGCAGGGGGCTAAAAGAATATTATTCCAGTAGTCCAGGGGAGATGTTGATGACTTGGACTAGGATGGTAGAAGTGGGAAATGAGAGAAATGGTCACATTTGGTATATATTTTTGAGGTGGATCTGACAGGAATTACTCATGGATTGGATACGGAGTGAAAAGGAAGGAAGTTTGTGGGTAGCCCACCTGGAAGGGTAGCTGTGCCACTTCCCGAGGTGGTGGGGGTGGGACCGGGGACGGGCGGGATTACAGAGATGGAGCTGTAATTCTGTTTGGGGTGTGTTAAGTTAGAGATACCTAGCAGATATCTAAGTCAAAGCATCAGAAAAGGCCACTGAATGTACATAGCTGGGGCTTGGGGAGAGGTCTGGGCTGTAGGTGGAAGTTCGAATGTTGTCAGATAATATCTGTCACTACCCAACAGGAGAGATGAACTGTGTTCGTTTGGTAGGGCTGCCATAACAAAGTACCACAGGCTGGGTGCTCAGACAACAGAAACTTACTTTCTTATGGTTCTACAGGCTGGAAGTCCAAGATCAAGCAAGGTGCTGTGGGATTGATTTCTTTAGAGGCATCTCTCCTCAGCTAATGACTGTGTCTTTTTCACATGGTCTTCTGTCTGTGTGTGTCTGTCTCCTGATCTATTTTTATAAGGACACCAGTCATACTGGATTATGGCCCACCCTGATGGCCTCCTTTTAACTTAGTTACTTCTTTAAAGACCCTGTCTCCGAGTACAGTTACATTCTGAGGCACTGGCGGGTCAGGATCTCATTGTAAGAATTTAGGAGGGACACAGTTAATACTATAACATGGCCTAAGGAGACAGACAGAAGAGGACCAAAGATAGATTCCTGGAGCACTTACGCTTTTGAAGGTCCCAGAAGCAAGTCGACAGAGAAGACTGAGGAGGAGTAGCCTGTGGGGGGAACCACCCATGTCTGTCGTAGAGGCTGAGAGAAGATACTTCCAAGAAAGACTTGGTCAGGTGTGGCAAATGCTGTCAAGGTTCCAAGCAAGATGAGAACAGAGAATTGCCCACTGACTCCCCATCCCCATGTTATAGAGGAGGTTATTCGCCTTAAGTGAGCACAGCTCTCAGATGGCATCCTGCCTACTCCTAGTTAGTGCTTCATTGTATTCCATATGCAAAGAGCATCTCCTACACCACTAACAGTATCTGTGCTCTGGTGAGTCCTCTGATAGCAGTGCTGTTGCCATCAGGCCCCATGCTCTCTGGCCTCGTCTTCCTTATGGCTTGTGCTATGTACCGTAATGTTAAAACAGGATGGTGTTCTGGGTCTGTGATGTTCTGCTGTGTTTGGCAGCACCACAAGTTTGAAATGACGCTGAATCCTGCCTTCAAAGTCCTGGTGTTGTAGAGTTACTCACTGTCGTGCTGTGATAAAGGGGATCCGGGTTTGAGCTAGTGCTTTATTTCAGCAAAGGCCACTGTGCAGGCAGCCTAGACTAGGGGCTTTTCTGGTTCAAGAAGGATCTCAGAAACTGAGCCGACAATGACAGAGTTGGTAGTAGGAGGTCTGTGAGTATCTGACTGTCATGCTACTTAAAAGACAACTTTCAAGTAATTAAAGGAAATTAGACTAGGGTACTTGTGACTTATAGTTGTTTTGGGCGGTTTGCTGTGTTAGATGTTCTTTGTTCATAGGTTATAGATACTGTAGTTGAAAGAGTATTAGAGTTTTTAATCCTACCTCTGCCATTTAGCTGCCTGACCTTGGGCCTGTCATGGGTCCTTCCTAAATTTGCTTGCTCATCTTGAAAGAACAAAGGTGATAAAAACGTTTTTCTTCCTAACTCTCAGGGGTTTTGTAAAGATCACATAATGTAAGGGAAAGCCATTTGTAAATTGTAAAATGCTGTGCAAAGGTAAATGGTTTTTATTATATTCACTCATTTATGTTTGGTTTTTGAATAAGTAAAATATAAAGGAAAACATTGGGCAGATATTTTTGCATCCAATATGTCTAAAAACTGGTTCAGATATCTGTAAGGACAGTGTCAAGAGAGCAAAAGGTGTGGATAGGACACACAAAAGAAAATACACATTGAAAACCAACATGGAGGAATGCTCACTCTTGTAGCTGAAGAAGAAAAGTAAAAATAATTGGCTATAGTTTTTACACCAATTAAATTACCTAATAGCTTATCTGTCCATAAGGCTTTGGAAGAATTGGTTTATTCATACGGTATTGGAAAATATTAACTGATACAGTCCCTATAGAAGACAGTTCAGCAATGCATAGCAGGAGCCTTTAGTAAAGTGCCTCTTTCCTTTGATTCTTGAACATTTATCTTACTATTAGTAATAAGAAAAAAATTGTGTGCAAGGATGTTCAATGCAGTATTACTTGTGACATTAAAAATTGGGAATCATCTCTGTATTCCTTGATTGGGTAAAATAATACCAAAACTTAATGAACTGGGGTGCCTGGCTCGCTTATTTGGTGTAGAGTGTGCGACTCTTGATCCTTGATCTTGGGATTGGGAGTTGGAGCCCCTAAGTTGGGTGTAGAGATTACTTAAAAATAAAAAATCTTAAAAAAAAGAAAAACTTATGAACTAAAATGGAACCATTAAAAATGAAGATGAAGGTTAGTGATGAAGAATTCTAAATTATATCTATAAATGGGCAGAAAGTTGCAGAGGATATGGAAAAGTAGAAACAGTTATGCTAAGAAAGTGAGACTACAAATTAGTATTTATCTTTTAAAAAATGTCTTTGAGGCACCTGGGTGGCTCAGACAGTTAAGCATACAACTCCTGATTTTGGCTCCAGTCGTGATCTCAGGGTCATGGGGCTGAGCCTGTGTGAGTCACTGCATGGGGCATGGAGCATGCTTAAAATTCTCTCTCTCTCTCACTCTCTCTCTCTCAAATAATTCAATAAATTTTTTTTTAATTTTATTTTTTATAAACATATATTTTTATCCCCAGGGGTACAGGTCTATGAATCGCCAGGTTTACACACTTCACAGCACTCACCATAGCACATACCCTCCCCAATGTCCTTAATCCCACCCCCCCAACCCTAAAGATTTTATTTTTATTTATTTGAAACAGAGAGAGAGAGAGAGATCACAAGTAGGCAGAGAGGCAGGCATAGAGAAAGAGAGGAGGAAGCAGGCTCCCCGCTGAGCAGAGAGCCCGATGTGGGCCTCGATCCCAGGACCCTGAGATCGTGACCTGAGCCGAAGGCAGAGGCTGAACCCACTGAGCCACCCAGGCCCCCGCAGTTTTTTACTGTTATGTTGTGGTTTTAATAACAAAACATGGGGTATTATAATGAATAATTATCCTCAAAGTTATCTTGTCTCACTATACTTGATTCCCAGAAACACCACCAGTCTCATTAGGCATAACTCTGAGACCTGATGTCTCTCAGCGAACTATAGGAAATATTTGTGTTTGTAGCTGTGGTCCTAAAATTTTACTTAAAGTTCTGTGTAATTTTTTTTTTAAAGATTTTATTTATTTATTTGACAGAGAGAGATTACAAGTAGGCAGAGAGGCAGTCAGGGGGCGGGGGCGGAAAGCAGGCTCCCTGCTGAGCAGAGAGCCCGATGTGGGGCTTGATCCCAGGACCCTGAGATCATGACCTGAGATGAAGGCAGAGGCTTAACCCACTGAGCCACCCAGGCACCCCTAGTTCTGTGGTAATTCTTATACTGGTGATAAATGTAACATGAGCTTCCTGTGTAATAGATGAACATTTGAGCCACATCCAACAGACTTTTCTCTGAGCAGATTAGACTTGCTAAGTCAGTGATCATGGCTTCATATGTACCGTTCTCTAACAACCTGAAGTAACCCTCTCAGAGACCCAAAAATAGAGAGAAGCAAAAAGCCAAGAAAGGCAAGGAAATTCGCTAGGAATATTGAAGAGTAGAGTTTAAGAAAAGATCATAAGGTGACTAGAGGCCATTAAATAATCTGGAACATTTTAGTTTGATTTGGAACAAATGTAAAGACCCAGCATGAATTAATTTTACTGGATTTTTGTCTGAAATATTAAACCAGATCCTATCTGTATTTCTTCCAGCTTCATAAAATTCTGGGAGATAAGGTGAACAATACTGCTGTAATTGAAAAGCAAGTACTAGAACTTTGGGACAGATTGTATCATTCTTGGTTTGTAAAGGTAAGTTATTTTATTAGAGGATTTCAGTCGCAAACTATAAAGTCCTTTTATTTTACAGACTCATTGACTAGATAGATGTTAATTAGGTGGATATTAATATTAGGATGTTACTTATTGAAATTCTTAAGTTACAAGGTCCCAAACTTCAGATCACTGAAAGTCGCCTTGAATTGATGGTTAATCTGCATGCAGAGCCCAGCAGTCCCTGTGACGTCGTGTTTTTCATCCTGTGTTCATTAGCATCAACAGCATCTTATCTCATTGTGTAGAACTGCAACGTGTAAACCATGTATATAATGTTAATTTTTCTAATGGCCACTTAAAAAATGAAAAGTGAACAGGTGAAATTAATTTTAGTATTTCACTTACCCCAGCATACCCCCAATATATTATCATTTCAGTATGCAAACAAGTAGAAAAAAATCTTAGTGAGATATTTTATATCCTTTGTTTTTTTTTCTTACAAGCCTTGGAAACCTGGTATATGTTTTATACTAATGCCGTTTTTGGACTCTCCAGTTTTTGGACTAGTTCCATTTTAAGTGCTAATAGCCACATGTGATTAGTGGCTACTGTTTGAGATAGTACAGCTCTAGACTTTTTTTTCTTTAAAGGAGGTAAATAGAATAGATCCGAAAGTTTGGAGAACTTGATTTTTTTTTTTCTTTTTCTTTAAAGATTTTATATATTTACTTGACAGAGATCACAAGTAGGCAGAGAGGCAGGCAGAGAGAGGGGGAAGCAGGCTCCCTGCTGAGCAGAGAGCCCGATGTGGGGCTCGATCCCAGGACCCTGAGATCATGACCTGAGCCGAAGGCAGAGGCTTAACTCACTGAGCCACCCAGGTGCCCCGAGAACTTGATTTTTAATCACCTTTACCTGTTACTTGTGCTGATATACCCTTACTTCAGAAATTATGATGGAAAATAATACCATTTTCCACTAAACATAAAAATGCTGGTTTTGAGAGCAGCTGGTTGTGTGTGACTTGGGGTCATGCCGTACATGGGGTTGGCAGGGCCTGTGGGCCTCCAGGAGCAGGGCTGTGGGAGATGACTGTCCAGTGGGGAAGGAGGTAGAGAACCAGACAAGTTGGTGGTCAATTTTCACAGGGTTGGCAGTAAGGAGAAGAGCATGTATAGATCAACCTCTTTACTTGGAGTGGAAGGGAGGAACGCTCAATTTCAAATTTGAATTTGTTGCTCAGTGACCAGTTTTTACTCTTCCCCTGGGATGAATTGAGGGAATAGTGTTTGTTTTTGTGTGTTTCAGAGTGGAGGTTAAAACTGATTGCAGAATTTGTAGGTAGTTATTTGCTGAAGAACCGGTCGATTGGAAAGGTGTCTTTTTCCTCTGCTAATTCTGGGGCTTCTGGTTACAAACAGCATTTTCTATCCCTCACCTCCTTTAAAAAGCTTCATTTTATGGTCCAGGAAGGTCAGTGTTTTAAAAGCATAGATTTATAAGCAGGCAGATGTATTCCTTTCTTTATGTCTTTTACTAGGACCTGAAGTCTTCATTGCATAATGAAGAGTGATATCACTGTGCTGTTAGCAAAAGTGTCAGAATGCAAACAAAATATTAAGAAACTATTTCGGTTTCTAAATGTTAACCTCACTAGTCACTTTGTTTATTCATATCTCTTTCAAATTTAATAATTCCTGCATTCTTGTCAGTGTAATTGTCTTCCATATAGAGTTTGATTTGCTCCCTGTTCTTGTTTCTTTTTCTTTTTTCCCTGTTTTGTCGAGATATAATCGACATATAACATTGTATTAGTTTTAGGTGTCCTGTATGTTCTCTCCTCTTGCTGTTTTTATCTTGTGTGGAAGACTGATAAGGGAGATGAGGAAAGGAGGAAAAAAGCAAAATGGTAGACCCCCCAAAATGGTAGAGGGGTTGAAAAGAAAAAAGAGAGTAAATGCTGTGTTGGTGTATAGTGGTACAAATTGAGGGATAACGTGTGTTCACAACTGTATTTAGGAAGAGACCACTTGAGCTAGGCTAACACATAGTACTGAGAAGGTAAACAGAAAAATACAGTTCAGGTCTTTAGGTGGAGTTCTTAGTTAATTTCTTAAATAATGCAAAATTTTTTACCCTTGAGTAACTATTAAAGTGCCCAAGTGGATCTAAACCGAAATGGGGTATTTATATTTTTCCTGTTTTGGCTGAAGATGGAGATGTCACATCTGAACCATTTTGTTCCGTAGAACGTAACGCACTCTGGAAGGCACAAAGGACAGAAGATGCATATAAGTCGTCAGAATAGCTGGCTGGGAGACATCCTGGACTGGCAGGATATCGTTTCCTTTGTTCATGAGAACATTGAGACATTTCTTTCGGTAAGAAGTAGTATTTTTAGTTTAACTGGACTTAGAAATAAAAATAGAAATTCTAACTTCCAGTTTCCCCCGCACCCTCAGAGGCCTTTGGTTACCCTGTTTTTAATGCCATGACATTTACAATTTTGAGAGTTCTAAATGCACTAGAAAGATGTCCAAAAGCCATAGGCCTCAGGGTAAGTAGTTCCCTGGTGGCTGAAGAGTCACTGAGCAGTGCTGTGTCAGGAAGCGTGTGTGCAGTGTTGTAGACTCCCATTCTGAGATACAAGTACCCCATCCTCTTAGGCTGACTAGAACGTCCCCAGGATGGAATCCTGGAGAGAAAACGGCCTTTTGGTGGGCAGAGTCTTTGGTAGATGGTGATATGGTTCCCTTTACATTAGAGAGACTGGATGTTCTTCAGCCCACTCTCCAGCCACGTACCACCCACCTCTGCCTTGTGTGCCAAAGGGTCAAAGGCAGCAAGGAACCACTCTTGGTTCCACAGTGTGTTTTGTAAACGTCTTGGCATGTGGCTTTTCACTGAGAGGAAGAGTTTTCTTGTGAATAGACTCATGACTTTCATCAAGCTAACAAAAGTTGAAGTTTGCAATGCTAGATTTTTTTTTTTTTTTTTTTAAAGTAAGCCCTACCACCAAAGCAGGGCTCAGACTCAAAACCCTGAGGTCGGGAGTCAGACACTACCAACGGAGCCAAACGGTGCCCTGCAATGCTAGATTTTTTTAAAATTTAATTTTTATCAAACTAATAGATGACCATAGTAGAGAGTCAAAAATATTTTTTTTAGTAAAAAATAACAGTAACCTGCTTTGTGCTTCCCCATTTCAGTCTCATTTTCTAGAAACAGCTGTCAATTCTTTTAGCTTTCTTTGGGTATTTACCTCTAAATTTCCAAAATAACCTGTTGGTCTTTCTTGGTTTTACAATTTTGGTATTATATTTTGGCTTCCTGATATGGAAGATGAAGATGAAGATGTGATTTTGAAATCTCCCCATGCTTTCTTATGCCACTTTTGGGGTTTTCTTATAACTCCTTTGGTTCTTCCCCACCACCATCCCTGCGCTCACACTTGCCCTTCCTCCCATGCACCTAATATAGCTGTCACAGTTTGGAATTAAATCTAGAAATTCATGTCCTTCAGTTCTAAGACTTTATGGTTTTGATAGTCCCCTCCCTGTTTCCTCTGTCTGATGGCCATGAAACTTTTTGGTCTGAAGATTCTAGAGTATTTATTTTTGTGGGTTCTGTTGATTATTATTGTATCAGCAGTTAAAACTGAGAACTTTAAAAATATATATTAATTCACTAAAAATAACATTACATATTAATGTAATACATTTCTTACATCTGCAAAGCAACCTTTTTCCAAAACAAAAAATATTTTTAATATATGTATTCTCTCAGATATTTGTTATTTATTTATTTATTTATTTTTAAAAAAGATTTTATTTATTTATTTGACAGATGGAGATCACAAGTAGGCAGAGAAGCAGGCAGAGAGAGAGGAGGAAGCAGGCTCCCTGCTGAGCAGAGAGCCCAGTGCGGGGCTCGATCCCAGGACCCTGGGATCACGACTTGAGCCGAAGGCAGAGGCCCCAAACCACTGAGCCACCCAGGCGCCCCCCAAAATAATTTTTTAAAAGATTTTATTTATTTATTTGTCATAGAGAGAGAGCACAAGCAGGGAGCAGGCAGAGGGAGAATCAGGCTCCCCTCTGAGCAAGGAGCCTGATACAGTGCTCAATCCTGGGACCCTAGAATCACGACCTAAGCTGAAGGCAGACACTTACCTGATTGAGTCACCCGGGCATCTCCAAAACAAAAAATAGTTTAGTGAGAAGGGTGGCTTTCTTTTATATTTTTGCAAATCTGTTTAATGTCTGGATTCTCACACTTGCTTCTATATTCGGTCAGTCGGAATACATTGTTTTGATTGAAATATATGAACAAAATCTAGCCTCATACGGATATGTAGTTGGAAAAGAGGAGAGTCTTTTAATAGCCTTTTCAGATAATTGTGGTTCTTCTTTCATACTACACCAAAACTCAACAAACGGTATTTCTTAAAGGTTAGTTGCAGTGTGGGATTTGAAACCATATCAGTAAATTTTTTGCACTGTATTATATTAAAGTCCATTGATCTGTCTTGTTAGAACTCGGCGTTTTACTCTTGCATGTCTTTGTGATATGCACTGATCATTTAGAATATTGGTTCACTGAAATTTGTACATCATCTAAATTATCAGCACACATTCTTACAGAGTATAAAACAATCACATTCTTAATATTACTACCTATTTCATCAGAAAAAATCTTAAGGTGTCGAGGTCAACCCTGGATCAAATTTTTTATTCCTGCCTTCATACTTGTAATAGACAATAGCTTTCACATTCTGAACCTTTCTGCCTAATCCCCTTGGGTACACAGAAAGGTTACGTGATTGTTGTTGGAGAACTGGCAGTCTACAATTAATGTATTCAGTTAATTTCTTAAGAATCACCACAGAGTATTTCCTATCAATGTGACCCAGAAAGTATTTAAAATTTTTTTGATAAAAATTCCAAAATGACAGAAGCCCCCAAAAGAATGCATGTAAAAATCACAAGTAAGGGCATTGTTGATTTGTTTCTTGGAATCAGTGGTGTTATTCATTCATTCTTTATCCCACAAGGTCAAATGGTCAGTCATGCATTTTTTTGTAGGCACTGCAAAGCATTTTCAAGATTTTCTTTAAGGAGTTATTGTAAATGAAACCAGCCTGCAAAAGCTCTTCCATGAAGACTGAGCTGAGCTTTGCAAGAAACGCCAGAGACAACAAAATATGCCTTTATAAATGGTACATTTGAGATAGGAAAGGAATGGGTAGGCCTTTCATAGAACAGATGGTATAATTTGCACATATGACAAAAAGCAGAACTGCTGTTTTGGAAAGGGCACACCAAAATAAAATTAGACATTAGATTTCTGGTCCCAGCTCTAGTTCCACTTACTAGCTCCAAGGCCCTTGGGCAAGTTTTAAAAAATCTCTGAGCTTTGGTTTGTCTCTCTTTACAATAAAGATCATATCATCTGTTTTGCTTCTGTCACAGGGAATAGATGTTATCATGAGGGAATTTAAGTTTATGAGGTGATAGGAAATGAAAACATACAGGCGTGCCATTGATATTGTACATCTTCTTTTAGTAATATTTAACAGGTATTAACTATTTTAATAACTGGTTCTAGTGAATTTGCAGGTGATGGATTAAATGAACACTATTAAGTCTTGATATAAGGGTCATCGTCTATCTGAAGAAAGATTTTCAGCTGCAGAGTTCTGTCCTTGACCTATCTGATCATTTCTTTTATTATGATTTTAGTGAAATCATCCATGTGATGCTTTTGTGTTTGTAGGTGAATCTAAGTTGGAGGTGGCAAGGTGGGGGAGGCAGCTAATAAGACAAATACTAGAATTTTCATGGTCTGCACTTGTGATCCTATACAGGTTGCATTCTGGAATATTTTCCTGTAAGCTTTGCGCAGTGGCAGTATTGTAGCCAATGAGGTTTATCCGAGGCACGATTATTGCTAATTGGAATATTTTCCTGTAGGTATTTTTCCTATAAATATCATTTTTACAGAGTTATATATATCATGCTATATTTAAAGTTTTTATTTCCTGCTTTTTAAATAACTTTGCAGTATATCAGAAAATGTTTTTCTGTGTTATAATAGAGCTATCTTTAATGGCTACCTAATATGATTTGGAGATAGGTTCACCATAATTTTCCTAACCATTTTCCTTACTATTCAATGTTCACATGCTTTCAGATGATTTTTTTTTCATTTAAGATAATACTCAGTTATTTTCAGTTTCTGATACTCACATGCTTGTAGTAAAAGCACAGCAGAGAGCTGTAGAAAATTCTTTCTGGAGGATTCATTCTGATGTTTAGCTTTCCCTCTCCATCAGATCTTAGAGTCTCTGTGGATTGTCATGAGCCGGAACGTGAGCCTGCTTTTCACCACTGTCACGACGCTGCTGACCATCCTCTTCTACAGTGGGACTGCCCTTCTCAATTTCGTGCTGTCTCTGGTATGTACAGGTAGATAAGCGCATGATACCTCTCCTTCTGCAGTAAAGCATGTTGTGGTTCCATTTATGCTTCCTTCCTGTAGTTTCCAAATGTGATTTTTTAGGAGATACTATCCTTTGTTTTGCAGATAATTTTCCTGACCACACTATTTTATCTATTAAGTTCCAGCGATGAGTACTACAAGCCAGTGAAGTGGGTGATAAGCCTGACACCACTGTCTCAGCCAGGTCCTTCTTCTAATATTATTGGCCAGTCTGTGGAAGAAGCTATCAGGTAGGGAGAAAATGTATGCTCTTCTTCTTTCCATCAGAAACTGCTGTCTGTGAGAAGCCCGTTTTCTGTCACGAGCCTTTCAAATAACATTTGGTGCTAAACCGGTGGTAGACCTGGTATTTTCGGATATTTTTATTTCCTTTTGAGAGAGTAATATAAGCAATGCAAGTGTTGATAGGAAAAAAAATTTCAGTTTCAGTTTCCTGCTGTCAGTCCTGTGAGTTACCGCTTTCTCCCACTGTAGGCTCTTGCTCTAGCTGCCGCTCCTGTCATCATGTCACTTGCTGGGGAGAACCCCTCTGTCACACACATGCACCTCCCCTTCTCTGGGAGCCCTCCTGTTCTCAGGCCCTGCAGCTGTGCCCAGGGAAGGGCAGCAGATGGTCTTTCTGTTTCTTCCTCTCTTCCTCTGTAGCCAGGCTGTCCCTTTGCATGAGGGTAGATCGGATACTGGAAAATGCAAAGTTTCTGGTTATTTTCAAGTCACAGGCTATGTGTGTGTCTCACAAGTTCTGGCCAGAAACTTCTGTCCTGTCGTGCAGGCTTGGCTTCTGAATGAGATATTCTTTACCTTTTTTTCTTCATATGCTCTTCCCAAGTCATTGGCTACTCCCCGTCTCCCCCCCGCAACCCTGCCTTTCATCTTTGTCATTTTGGATAGGGAAAGGCCCTTGCAGCCCAGGCCTATCTCAGCTCCTTCCCTACCCTTGTCTCTCATTGCTTTTAGCTCATTAGGATTCTACTGTATTTTTACTGCTTACGAATTGTTGTCCAAATTAAATCCTCATGTTATCTATCAAAGCTTCTTTTTCTAGTAAGTTGTTCATTAAATGGTCTTAAACTTACCTTGACTAGTGAATCTTTGGCTGGCATTTATGTTTCCACTTACTTTTAAGATATAGCATTGCTTGCAACTAGTCTTTTATAGAGATCTTGATTTGACCTGATAATTCTGTCTGACTGATCTTGGCTTATTTCTTCATTGTGTTCATTTAACAACTGGTTGAGGATACTACTTTGTCTCTGGAAAACCCTCAGTTACATTCAAATAGCATGCATGTTCCTAAAGTACATTCTCTCTAGAAAATTTGCTGGGTTATCTTTCTTTTTCCTACTAGCAAGGCTTGGGTAAAGTCTTCATCAATATCTTGCTTCCTTTATTGGCCATCAGGTAGGATTTTAAAAAATGCCCTTATCCTCTGTGGTGCTCTTGGGTATCCATGTGGGGCCATCTATGTAAAAATTCCAAGTTTTGGAGTTTATTATCTAATATAACAGTTTTCAGGGTGAAGCTATCTTCAGGGAGGACACCTGTTGGCTTTAGCATATATGGTCATTGGGTATCATCTTTATTGAGTAAATCAAATGTTGAAAACCCTAGCAATAAATTCACGTCAGTTTATCTAAATGACCTTATCTGACTCAGAGAAGTTTATGTAAATAGCTCAACCAAAAAGAAAAATAACCTACTTTCCCAATAGGCTGAAACTATAGAATCAACCATGTCAAAGGTTGGCAGAATCCTTTATTCAATGTGACTAAAGCTAAGCCTTGCAGAAAAATATCTATCTTGTCCCATTAAGAACCTCAAGAGAGTTACTTCCTTTTCCTGAAATAACCTTTATTAACACTGACTCTTATTCTCACAAAAGCTTTTCTGTTTTCAAATCACGGTTCTTGAATTTTCTCTTGTTCTGCTTTCTTAGAGTGAACCATTGGTTAACCATTCCTCTGTCATTACAGTCAATTTTGTTTTCATACCAAATATGCCAGCTCCTTTGTTTCAAACTTAGTTCTTTAATGTCATGATTGCTTGGAATTGGTAAGCAGAGCTGTGATTTGTACCTAGTCCAGATGATTGAAAGGACATATTCTAGGCACCTGGCTGGCTCGGTTGGTGGAACATGTGACTCTTGATATTGTGAGTTTGAGCCCCACAGTTGAATATAGAGTTTACTTAAAAATAAATTTTTTTAAAAAAGCAAGCAAGCAAGTAAGCACATATCCTTCTGGTATACCATGGTGCCTTCTTCCAGGAGGACCTGGTTGGGGCAGAAGATTATAGTTTAATTTGTGGCAGTGTTAGGACTGTTCAAATAGACACATGAGGCTGGCAGCTAGAAATTCAGGTCTTTGGCTCATCAAGGAAATTTGAGGTTAGAAAGAGTATGGTCATCTATAGGGAGAGGAAATACATATGTGCCTTTTCACAAATTAGATTTGCCTTATCTTCTTGGGATTGTACACACTAATTATGCAGTATAGCAGTAGGCCATGTCTTGGTTCCAAAGGATACTGGTATCAAAACCATTCATTTTTGTCATATTTTTGATATAAGACGATGTCTAAACCCTTAGTACCAGAACTATAATCTTAACAGTTGTCAAAACTGAGAAATACAGTACAGACCAGATAACTTGTCTGGATCATTTGTGTAACCACAGTTATGTAAATTAAAGATTTTAGCTCAAGATAATTTTTAGCAGTCCAAGTGCTTTTTGTCTCTTTCTTTACTGGGTCAAATTCAAGACCTAAAATGGGCAGGTTTTACACAGATATCTCCGAAGAACCTTCTCATGTATGTAAGATAACAATGAGCTCTAGTTCTCGAGCGCTTGCCAGATTTTTCATTCTGAAGGATTGTGTTCAAGATGGAATATTTCTTCATGGACAAAGATTTTAAGAGGAAAAATATTACACACGTGATTATGAAAATGTTATTATAAAGTCCTGAGAGTGCAATTTAATCTGTGATCAGGCTCCATAAACATCAGCCGTTAGTTGTCGTCAATGTTGCGGTCAAGTGAAAATCATTCAACTCGTTTTATATGACCCATCAATAAGTTGAAAGGGGAATTAAAATTGGGAGTTAACTGCATGGCCAGGCAGCCAAAGTGTCTTGGCTCCTGAAGCTTCGCCTTCTGAAATATGTGGCTATTTTATGATCACCGTTCTGTTGAATTTTTGAATCTCAGTTACGATTCTCAGTTCTGAATAAGTAAATGTTTTTTCTAAACTGGATATGTTTGTGTATTCATTTGGGTTTTCATTTCATAAATTTTTATGTTAGTGGCATGTATCCCTTATCCCCAAACCATTCTCGTCCCTGGAGAGCATGTTGTGTCCTGAATGTTTGAATCACACCCTTCTCCCCTGATGCTCCCATTCTGCTCGCTCTGGTGGAGATATTGCACATTACTAAGTTGCATGTTGTCACGGCCTCCGTGCAGTTTAGTGTGTGTGATATTTTCACATGAGTGCATGCACACGGGTATGGCTCTTGCTTGTGGGATTACAGCTTTTCAGCGCTGGTGGGTGGGAATCCTACTTATGAATTGTATGGGAGAATGTATGTGCTGTGAGATCTCTTTTTTTTCTTTTCCTTTTTTTTTTTTCCCCTGGAACGTGAATGTGCTTCTCACCTCTGCCCCCCAACTCTGGAGAATTAAAAGTATTTGGATTAAAAAAAATCAGTGTCGCTCATTCAGTAAATCAGTATTTCCATTTTTGACTTTGAACAAATTAAATATTCATTGGAAAGAAATTCTCATGAATTTAAGGTTATAAGCATCTGTTTAAATTAAAATGTATAAGGAAGAGTTTAAAGCTGTAAGAAAATATATTTTCATTTATTTGAAGAGGTAGCTCTTCGAACAGTGGAATAGAGAAAAAGAATCTCTTATACATACTTGGGAAAGTCAAATTAACTGAAGTTCTTAAATAATAACCCACTCAATAAAAATAATGCCTTTTTAAACTACTCAATTATAGATCAGTTTAATCATCTTAAACCTTTATGTCACATTTCCAAGGAAATGTCCTTAAGAAACTTTGTCTTGTATTTAGTTTCCCATTGTGCTGCTCTAAAAATTGTTAAATTAATTTTAATAGCCTTATAATTAGTGTTGAGGTACAAATGTTTGCTATTTGTCTATATGATTGAAACAGCCCCTTGTTAGTTTTTTAGTTAACATTAGAGTAAGCATCCATGATCACTGGGCACTGTCAAAGACACAAAATCATGTATTAATGTATAAAAATACTGAATTAATATTTCTACTGCCAAGGACGCCAGTTGATTGAATGTGATGTCACTGTTGTATGCTTCAGTGTGTGACAATGACTCACTGTTTTTTCCAGTGGGGATGGAAGGCTTCCACAGAAGCAGCCTCTCTGTGCTCCTCAGTGGCGTGCTAGGTTTGCTCATGCTGCGTGACCATTCCCCTCTGCAACGGGGAAATCCAGTGTCATCTGGGTTTCTGTACATTTCACCGTAGAGCTGGGTCTCTGGGGAAGATGAACCAGGAAACGGAAGGAGATGTAACTTTTCAAGAGAGGTTAGGTAGTAGTGAAGAGAGCTGGGGGATACCGATTGGTAATTTTATCTGCTGTGTTTCTGGAAGCTGGCCTGCCCTGTCTACTACCTAGCCTTCTCGGAGGGACAGTATATAGCAGTGAGTGTAGAACACTGGTAAGGTCATGCTCGTGGCTGTTTCCTGAGGGAATAATAATCTGATAGTGTCTGATCTTTAGAAAGAAAAGAAGGGAGAACCAGTGTAAGGAAGTGTTGGGAGTAGGTGAAATTTGATTTTGGGCTCTTTTCTTCTTCCTTAGACACGTGCAGTCTGCTTGTCTATGGTCTGGAGCCTGGTGTTCTCACAGGGCGTAGAGCTTCTTGACTGTGGCTTATCATTCTCCCCAAATCCCTCCTTGCTTCAGTCTCATTCCATTAATCCAGGTCATCTGATCAAATCATGGGTTGTCTGGCCAGTTTTCACTTATTTAGAAAAGTAACAACAACACCCCCTTTTTTCTTTCTTTTTTTAAGCTTCTTTGCCATCTCTCCCCACAAGAACACCCTTTTGGTCAGAAATGAGAGAGCTGAGATATTAGCTAGCTTATAAAAGAGTTAAGTGTCATCTTAGAGTTCAGTTTGTAAAGGGTAAGGAAAAAGCTGGTTAAGCATTAAATCCTAACCTAACCAGGCATTTTTTAAAAAA